CACACTCCTGGCCTTCTGTAAGGCTTTGAAGACCTGGTTCTGCCACCTGGCCTGGGGTGGGGAGGGAATACCAAAAGCATGGGGATGGCTAGCCCCATAGAGGCCTTCTGCCTTCAGCCTCAGATTTTTCAGCCTCTTGGACTCTCCTTCTCCTTTTTAGTAATGTTCTTAATTAATGTTTTATGTATTTATATATATTTATGTTTTAATGTTTGTTGTGAATCGCCCAGAGTTCCCCCATTGGGGGGAGATGGGCGGTTGAAAAATTTAATAAATAAATAAATATGTTATGTTTGTTGTGAATCGCCCAGAGTTCCCCCATTGGGGGGAGATGGGCGGTTGAAAAATTTAATAAATAAATAAATATGTTATGTTTGTTGTGAATCGCCCAGAGTTCCCCCATTGGGGGGAGATGGGCGGTTGAAAAATTTAATAAATAAATAAATATGTTTTGCTTCACAGCACTTGACTATGATTTAATGTATAATCTAAATTTATCTAATTTATTCTAATTTAATGTATAATCTAAACTTCTATTTTCTTTTTTTTTTAAGTTTTTATGATTATGCAGGCAAAGTCAATGAAGAGAATTTGGACAGAATTCTTAAAAATCGGAGAAAAGTAAGCTTACATACCTTCATGTCCATTCGTATTCATATTTATTCTCCTGTATAAGAAGAAAAAATTATTGTTCTTAGGAGGAGTGACTTTAGACTGAACATTTCCAAAGTGTTCCATATATAGGGTTATGCATAGATAGTCAAATATAGATAAAAATACCCCACCCCACCCCAATTGGGGGGATAGTATGATATAAGCAATCATTCCAGCCAATTCACTTTATTTACTTTTCAGAAAATCTATCCCCATGGTCTCTGCTTGTCCCATCCCCTCTAATAGGATGGGTGCACTTTGGGTCCCTTGCGTGAAGCAATGTCCTCTGGCAGGACTCAAGAGGCCTGCCTTTTTCATTATAGTACCTGCCTCTGAAATGAAGCACGCACACACCTGCCGTATACAGTTGCTTCCAACTCTGCTGGCCTTTAGAAAGGTTTTTAAAACATGGTCCTTCTCTTGGGGCCAAGTTTCTACCTGGAAGGCTATAATGTAAACATTATGGGTTCCCAACTGCCTATTGACTTTTGTGGCTATTTTTAACTGTAGTGGTTCATTATTGTTTACTTGTTGTGGATTATATGCTGCCCAGAGTCTCAATTGTTTGAGTTAGGTGACCATATAAATGTGATAAATGAATAAAATCATTGTAGAATTATAAAATTGAAAAGGGCCATTTAGGCTGTTGAGTCCAACTATAGGGAGCTATGATGGAGATGATCTTGCAGAAACCATCCAGAAGCTATTAAGACAATGACAGACTTGCAAGACACTGTTACTATAGCCTATCTCAATAAAATATAATTCTAGTCTTCCTGTAGAATTAGTTTCCTGATCTGGTCTACCTCATAGGTATGATACCAACCCCCAGCTCAGTGCAGGAATCCAGATTAAAGCATCCATGAGATATGGTTGTTTAAGTTGTTACTTGAACATATCCAGTAAAGGGGAAGCTACCACCTCTCTAGGTAATTGGTTTTACTGTTAAAATTCCATAATGAACAGCTTCTAGGAATTTTTTTTCTAATACTTAATTGGGATCTGCCTTTCTGTAACCTAAATCTATTATTCTTTGTCCCCCGCTCTGGTATGAGCACAGGTCTTGATTTCTTTGTGAACATCCTTTCAGTCATTTGAAGAATGCTGCCATAACCCTTTCCTCCAACTATTCTCAAGGCAAAATATACCCAATCACTTTTTTCCCCACATAACTTAATTTCTAATCCCCAGACATCATTCTTGCTTTTCTCTGAATCTGCTCCAGTTCCTCTGAATCCTTCCTAAAGTGGTGCCTCCCAAACTGGACATAGTACATAAGGTGGCGATTCATCAAAGCAGAATAATACAGAACTATTACTTCCAGTGATTGGAAGTTATAAATGGCATTTACCTTTTTTTGCAACCATATCACATTGCTAGTGAAGCGCTTAACATTTACTGTAATTCCATTACTTTCATCCCATTTCTCTATTTTATCAAGATCATTTCTAATTGTATTTCTTTCTGTTACGGTATTAATTATCCTACCCAATTTTGTATTATCTGCAAATATAATCACTCCCTCCAGTTCTTCCTCCAAATCATTAGTAACACTATTAAGGGCAACCACAACTGATCCTTGTGGCACCACACTTAGTAACTCTTCTCAATTTGTTGAGTACATTGAATATGATTTTCATTTAATTATCTTGCAATCCAGCCCACACTTAACTATGTGATACATAGTCAGATTCTTTGCTGAGATCTATGTATTATGTATCTATAATATATAGGTATATTGTAATATATTATCGGTATGGCAAGATTTGTTCATGACAAATCCACACTCTCACTTCTGATACTTACCTCATCATTTTCAATTGCTTACAGGCTGACCTTTTTATTACCTTCTATGGAATTTTTTCTAAGTATTAGACCTGGCTGGTCTATAATTTGCTAATATACCATTTCCCACTTTTTGAAAACAGGGATGAGGAGCTGGTATACTGATTCTTTCCCTTTTATTTTGAAACTTTATAAAGAAGCCATTTTTTTTTTATTTTGAGCATTTGTCCCTAAACTTGGTTCGTTCTGAACTTTTACTTTACTGACACCAGCTTTACAGTTCTGAGCTACTTGCCTGTATTCTTTTTTGCATGTGATCCTGCCTTTTTTCCATTTACTGCATGTATCCTTTTGTTTGTTTTGTTTTTTCAGTTGGGTCTTCTGCTGACCTTGTTTTTCCCCACTGGCATTGTTTGCATTTGTACTTTTAATATCTCCTTTTTAAGAACTCCAATCCATCTTGAGCTCCTTTTCCTTTTAGCTTGTTCTGTTCCGGGGTCCGAGTGACCGAATTTATTAGCAATATTTTTTAAAATTCCAACATGCATATTTGAATGTACTCACTTTCTCTTTAAAATCAAGAACTCCAGCATTACATGACTACTTTCCCTCAAAGTTCATGTTACTTCCACTTCCTCAATTAAGTATTCTGTACTGATTAGTATGAAGTCAAGGTTAGCTGAACCTTTTGTGTCTTCGTTCACATGTAAAGTAGAAAGTAATCAGCAAGACGAATCAGGAATTTTCTGTAAGGATCATGTGTGGCAGAGATGCATACTAACTGAAGTCTCCTTTCACTGTAACTTCATTCCTCTTTGAACAATGTGCAGTTTGATTTTTGAAGGTATGATCCACACCTCCTATTTGGATGGCGGATGATGTTAGACATCAACAATGATATTGCATTTTTATGTTCCTCCCCTTATTTTATCCCAAATGCTCCCTACATTTGGGATTCTGACAGCAATGTTAATTTTAACGTGGTACAACTTCTCCTCCCTCTCTGTTGCATCTGTTGCTTCCTCAACTAATTAAATTGTATCCTTTAATTACCTTATTCCAGTCACAGGAGTCATTCTTCTAGATTGCCATTATGCCTAATAAATCATATTTGTCTTTGATACTAACTGCCCATCTTGTTTATTTCCCATACTCTGAACATTAGCATATAAATAGTAAAAGTCATGAAGTTTATCAGCCGTTGTTCTTTTGATTTTTTTGAGTGGTTGAAGAGGCTCCATTTCAGCAACACTACCACTTTCTACAGAGCATAATTATCAAGGCATAGGTAACAAGCCAATTATTTTTCAAAGGTGTTTTTTTTTTACAATTTATAAAGCAATAACTAATGAGCAGTTTATTTCAATCAAGAAGAAAACTAGTAAAATTGCCTGCGCATCAAATCAAATCAGTCTTTACTGATTTCAACTTATACAGTAGTGCTAGATAAACTAGATAAAGACAAATATGTAGCTTTGGATCATTTTCCTCAATGAATAAATGAACATGTGTAACATTTTTGACTCATTTGTTTAATTGGGTTCTCTTTATCTAGTTTTAAGACTTGTGCGGAGAACAGATCACATTTTAGGTCATATTTATGCAGAAATGTTGAAAATTCAAACAGGTTCACAAACGTTTAAGCACCTCTGTACCTAACACAATCAAAGTGGAGTTGTTTGAGTTTCTTTATCACATTTTGTAATTTATCAGGCCTCAAATATATTTTCTATAATGGTTCAGCATTTTCTTCTGAGTTAAACCACTGCAAGCTAGGGACTGTAGTCAAGCAGGATAATGAAAACAATCTGTCTGTCATCCTCCTGCTTGGAAACACAGTTGAAATACATTTCATCCAGAGACTTTTGGAGCATTCTTGCCAAAAATAGACATTAGTTTGGGCCCATAATTGCCTAGTTCCTGAAATATAAGGGTTTCTTTAATATGGTATGCTTTGGTAGCAGGTTGCTGAAGCCTGCAGGGTAGAAGGGTGAAGGTCTCAAACTTCCTCTCCCAGAAGCCCTCTGGGATTTCATACCCTGGCCACGTTTTGTGCTTTGAGTGACTTTATATATGTAAAGAGCACTGCAAACAAGTACTGCATAATTTCAATTTTTTCCCTGAGTTGGTAGTGATATACCATATTTTTCCGACTATAAGACGATACTTTTTTCTAAAATCCTTACCCTAAAAACTGAAGGGCGTCTTATTC